ACCAAAAAAAAAAAAAAAAAAAAAAAAAAAAAACACTTTATTTAGATTTAGATTTAAAATAAATGCAGCCATATAACAAGCCATAAATAGAAAACGGACTCTATAAGTGAGTGATTTCAACCAATAATAAACTATGGATTGATTACAGAGATGCAACAGATAAAGAGGCCAAAAGAAGTTCTCAGTTTAGACTGCCTTTAGAGGTGAATGGGGCTGCAGGGAATTGATCTACTTGGAAAAAGCCCATGGGAAACCATGGGGAAGGTAGAATGAGAAACACTGTGTTGGATGGAGAGAGGGTGAGAGCTTATGGCAACAATGTTAAGCCAGCAACTAAACTCAGTTTCTGTCTCCTGCTCTCAGAAATTTATGTAGTATCCTTGTCCTCCACCTGTCACTCTACAGCTAAGAGACCTAGCAGAAGTGTGTAAAGATCTCAGCCTTCTAGTTTTTGCAGTGAAGGAGAAACCACCAATAGAGCTAAGAGATAACCTACAGTGTGGGGGGAAAACAAAAAAAAACAAACTTTACCAGCTACTCCTCAGACAAAGGACTACTATCTAGAATGTATAAAGAAATTTTAAAAAATCAGACTCCCCAAAAAGACCTCATTCAAAAATGGGCATCTTTGGGCTGGGGATTTAGCTCAGCAGTTCTGTGGCCTGCCTTGCAAGCACAAGGACCCAAGTTCAACCCCCAGTACCAAAAAAAAAAAAAAAAAAAAAAAAAAGGCATCTGAAATGAACAAACATTTCTCAGGCAAAGAAATAAAAGCAACAAATAAATATATGAAAAAGTGTTCAACATCACTGATCATTCGAGAGATGCAGATGTAAAACAACACTGAGATTCCACCTCACCCCAGAAAGAATGGCTGCTATCAAGAAGTCAACCAATAACAGATGCTGGCAGGTACAACCACAGTGGAAATCAATATGGAGATACCTCATAGAACTAGGATTAGAGGTCCCTTTTGACCCAGCTATCCCTCTGCTGGGTATCTTTCCAAAAGAATTAAAAGAAACATGCCACAGTGCTATATGCACACCCATGTTTGTATCGGCACAGTTTGTAGTAGCTAAAACTTGGAAAAAAAACAAATGCCTACCAACTGGAGACTGAATAAAGAAGATGTGCTTTTTCTATAAAATGGAGTAATGCTCAGCCATAGAGAATGGGAAACTAGAGACATTTATAGCTAAATGAATACACATTGAGGCCATACTCAAGTGAAACATAGGATGCACTTGAGTAAATACAGAATAGTTTCTCTGGTGTGAAACACTAAAGGTGTAAATAAGGTTCAAAAGGTATAACTGATAGTGTGAAATAGGAAGAAAATAGCTAAAGGGGAGGGGAAGGAAATAAGGGAAGAGAAAAAAATGTGAATAAAGGAAAATATGGAAACAAGTCTTTGGAAATAGGGAAGGGTGAAGGGGATGAAGGGAGGGCAGGGGTAAGGGGAAAAAAAAGAACCAAGATATATCATGTAAAGGTACAAGATCCCAAGGATAAATGTAACTGTATTGCATGCTTTAAATATACCAATAAACTTAATGCAAAAAAGAACTTAAAGAAATGGAAAAGATATGAAGAAAGATATAAAACAGATAATGCAGGAGAGCATCCTTTTTATAGACTAAAGAGAAAAATGCCAAGAAAATTATCAAAGAATAAAGAACTGACATTTTTTTCTGAGTCACATATTGAAAAGCTGCTTCAAATGAATAAAAGAAGTCTATGTCTAGAGATATTACTGTGATATTTCATACCATCACAAAGTAAGATCTTGAAAACATCTATGAAAAGGAAAGAAGCCCCTTAAAAAAATGGTAATCAAATTGGTATCACATCCTATAGGTCAAAGCTGGACCCTAGGAAACAATTCATCAGTGTTTTCAGAGTTCTTTAGGTAAATCATCTTAACAAGGAATTCCACATTGTACAAAACAATCAGTCATGTGTCATGACAAATAAAAGAGCTTCAGATATATAGGAACAAAAATTTTTCTCTCGCACACCTTTATTATGAGGACAGTTACGAAGACAGAACATAAAGCAAACCTGTGAGTAATTGCAGGGTGAATGGATTGAAAGTGGTAATATGCAAATAGGAATATTATTCAGCTATAAAGAAAAATGAAATATTATGACTTACAGAAAAATGGAAGGAACAGAATGACATAAAGTGAAATAAACAAGACAGAAAAATACGAGTCCTGCCTGTTCTGCCTCATATGTGAAAGTTAAAAAATCTTCCAGAATGTAGAATAGTGATTTCAAGAAGTTTGGAAAAATCAGTAGAATAAAAAGAGATTAGATTTGACCAATACACATTACATGCAGGTGTTTCAATATCACACTGAATCACGTTAACATGTATGATTAATACATGTGGATCAAAATTAAAATAATTTTAAAACATGAAAAGAAAATCAACATGCCAACATAGTGAAGTACAGAAGGAATGTCAAGGTGGAAGCTGTCTGAGACTAACCCAAAACAGTATCTGGGGTGTCTGGGGCAGCAAGGACTCAATAGATGGTGTTGGAGGTGGGACAGAGGTAAAATCAAGAACATGATAATGGCGAAGCTGAAAGTCCAATATTAATCAAAATCAAAAATTATACAAAGACGGTAAATACAAAATTATAAGTAAATTAATCTGGTGCTGGCAAAATAAAAAGGGATGGAGAGAATGTGAAATAAAAATAACTGAGATGTGCTATGCACATGTACCAATCCCTTGAAATGAATGTAATCATTACGTACTGCCAATATATAAAAATTTTTAAAAATTCTATGTGGGGTACACTTATAATTCTTTTTTGTTTGGTTTGTTTGTTTGTTTGTTTGTTTGGTACCCGGGATCTAACTTGGGTCCTTGCACTTGCAAAGCAGGTGGCAGAAACACTGAGCTAAATCCCCGGCCCTATAATTCTTGACTTCGTGGTGAACAGCATTTTCTCAGGCACTATAATGTAAATCCTGCTTACTCTGCCCTAGAACATATTAAATTTCTAGAACCAACCCATACACAAATCATTTACCAAAAATTCCCTTCATTATGGTTATTTAGCATAAAGTTCAATCTTAGTAATGTTAAAATGAAAGTTCGGGTGAAAAGACTTAGGAGGTACACCAGGGAGAAGAGAGCTAAAAGGAAGGGTAAAGCACCCCTAGGTCTATATTACACAATGATAGCATTATAAATACCATTATAAATCATTCACTGGCACCTTTAGCAATCTTAGTTTCCCAAATAAAACAAAAACAGAAAGAATATTGCAATATGGAAACTTGGGCTAGGATAAATAGAAAAAACAGTCCCTAGTAAACATCACTTTTATTTTAAGAAAGCATTAATGTCAGTTTTCTAGATTAAGTATCTCATGCCCCAAGTTCAAATTTACATTCCATTATGATAGTTCACTCAGAAAACATATGACTATGTATGTTTAAAAACACTACTACCAGCAGTTGACTTTTATCTATAAGTTGTAGTTGTTGTTTTTTGCCCTTTCAAAATTAAAGTCAAAAAAGTTCCTAAGCTGAAGATTTTATTCAGTTAAAATGACATACAACTCAATTACAATCGTAATTGTATCCTCTGAGAAAGAATTGTATGTATTTTATGAGCTTATTCATCTTATCTAAATCAGTGTTACATTTCACTGATCTGTATTAGACAATGCGGATGTTAAAAGACTTTCACAAATAAGTTTCTAAGCAGCACTAATAGGTTCTGCATCACATATTTTGAATTCTAATGCAGTAGAGGTAAAAAAGTTATTATATTTTTATTGACATGTCTCCTTTTACCCTCAATGTCACTTCTGTTTGCCATTGTCTAGTTAATAATATTGATTTTCCTTTTCCTTTTAATGACCCTTAAGCTCTTTTTCTACATTTGTATTCTTTATCTTGAAAGTGGCAAATACCAGTATTGGCTCTCACACTATTGTGAACAGGTTGGTTTTATAATAGAATAGTTTCTACCACTTAAATATATGGCATAACTGGTATACATGCTTATATTTTATACTCTTCATTTTCCTGTGTCTTTCATATTCCATTATGCTCTAAGATTGTATAAACTTTTATATTCAATGATAAGAAAATTTGAAGTCAGTATGAAAAATGTTTATCAATTACTAGTTTCATGACTCTCACATGTATAGGAGAACCTCTCATAACTTTATAGAACAACAAAATAGATGCATCCTATATTTTTACTGTTTCTTGCTTTTGCAGAAGTGCATTTCAAAGATACTGTATATGATTTTTGCCCCACATCTTCAATTGGCTGTCTCTTACATTAGAGGAAAATCTCACATTATCAACTTCATCTGTCTTTAATTCTTACAATTATTTAACTGTACTTCTCAAGACTACCTTACTAGGAGTGTTTATTGTGTGGACTAGCACTCTAATCTAACAAGTTTTATTCATATTTCCCCATTCTCTGGCACCTTCTTCTCTAATATCAGGTTTCTGTGGCAAGATTACATCACTGACTGTGGTTGCCTAGCACTCATTTCACTCTACGTGGTCTCTAATTTATCATGGGAGTTGTATTTTCTAAGTATAGAAATAACACTTCTTGTGGAATATAAAGCGTATACGATATGTAAAAAAGATGGCACATACGGGAAAAATTGACTTGAACAAGCTCAGAAGACAATTCCAAATTCTTATCAATGGGCTTCTTGTTTTTTGTTTGTTTGTTTGTTTTTTGGTACAGGAGATCAAACTTCAGGACCTTGCAATTGCGAGGCATGCAATGGAACCACTGAGCTAAATCCCCAGCCCTGGTTTCTTGATATAAAAAGTTAATTTTAAACCAGAAAGAGACAACATCTTGCTGGATTATTAGCTTAATGTAGTCAACTAATCAGGAGTTTGGGGTTATGATAATTTTATCCATGTAATAGTAGTTAAATTTTTCGTACAGAAAAATTATTGGCTATTATCTCTCTTTTCCAAATTGAAGTGAGTACCTTTCTCTTATTTGTTGCTATTATGACCATGAGAAGTGAGAACAGGAACAGGCGCTGAAGATGGACGATGGCAGAGCAGTGAGTACGAGCACCATGGCTTCTCCAAGGCAAAGTGCCCAGATTTGGAAATCAACAGCCCAGAGAGGAAATAGAGTGAGTGAAGAGCACACAGCAACCACAAAGGAAATGACAGAAGAGAAGAAGAAAATAGGATCCATTACTATAAAAGAAATAGCTCAGCAACACAGACCAGAGACCTTGAAGAGTTCTACGTACTGGGGCGCAACAGGGATAATAGGAGACAATGCTTCCTGAAGGACCCCTCCCAGAGTTAACAATTCTTAAGTAAGGGGGAACTAGTCCCAGGATGCAGTCATTCAGAGTAGCAGCACCCTATTTATTAAAAAACTTCAGAGTTTGAACTCCGAATAGCCCCGGGGCCACTTCACTGCCAGTGCCCAGAGTGGAAGGAGGGAAGCTCTCTTCACAGTAGTTTGCTGGCAGCTGGACAGCAGACTGGGGTAAACGTTGAAAAATCGGGACGGAAACTACCCAGATTAACCCTAGCCGCAAAGGACCAGAGATGTCTCCCTCCTCTGTAACCAGAGGTGTAGGATAGGCAAGAGCTTTGGCTGGAAATGGAAAGGGGACACTCCCACCCCACCCTATGGCACAAGTAGGCAATCAACCTTACCCAGCCACCCATACTACCAGGGCAGAAACTAATCACTTTTATATGGTTAAAGGAGTCAAACTAACATTTACCTCTGTCAGCTGCTAGGTGGTGCTTGATGTTATTGCTATTGCTAACTGTCTTACTTTAGGCAGGATGTTATACCTGTGGTGATCAGTTGTTCTCCCTTCTATGACAACACTGTGATTGTCTAGGGTCACAACCATCACCGCAGTCCAGTTACCAAAGGACAGAGTGCTGAGTTAAGTAGATAGCAGCCTCGCACCCTGGGAAGGTAGGATCTTGGGATTGACACAAAACCCAAGAACCATCTACACCTAAAAGGTATCTCTGAGGAATAGATATTTCTTAGAGAAGCTTGATGCTACTGATAAAGCTATCTACCATGAGAAATCTATAAGCAACAACTCAGAGAACATAGTAAAATAAAAGCTAGAAGATGACAAGATATAGAATCAAAATGCAACCCCATGCCTTCAGCCCACCAATGTTAAATCCAGGGAACAGTAAGATAGAGGGAAATGGAAGCGTTCTTTGTGAACTCTCTGAATTGATAGCAGCAGAAGTGAAAAAAATCGATAGATGAGGTTATAGGGAATATAATCTTTCAAGTAAAAAATGACAATCAAAATAAAGGACATGCTCAGTGAAGCTAGACTAGACACAGATTAAAAAATAGAGGAGCTGGGCTTGGGCCTGTGATCCAGTTGTAGTCACACTGACAAGAACAATTGGGCCAAGCTGAAGATAACATGTTGGTCTGCCTGGAGTGTAGAAGGAATAAGATTCCAGAAGGTTTGAGATACAAGAAGGAATGATGATCAGCAAGTGTGGTGGTGCTCACCTATAATCTCAACGTGGGAGGCTGAGGCAGGAGATCACAGTGAGCTCAAGGCCAGCCTAGGCTACATAGTGAGTTCAAAGTAACATGTAAAGGGACTGGTTTAAAGCCTAGTGCCAAAGTATGACAAGAAATTCCTTCTGCAAATCCTGATGCCACTCCTGTAACTCGTGGAACTGAAAGCTCTTGGCATGAAACAGCTATATCAGGGTCTCAGACTAGGGTCAGTACAGAGCTTTCAGAAGCTTTGTGTAAGAATATAAAAAATGTATTCTCCATCTTGTGAAACCACAACTGGCATTGAAGAACCAACTGAGGGAATGATTTTAGGACCCAAAGATATGAGGTATGAAATATATGACATCTCTGGAGAAAGCATTTTGGCAATTTCTACAGAAGATCTAAAAGAATGTCTGAAGAAACCATTAGAATTCTGTTTTTCACAAGAAAATGTATCAAAGGATCTCTATGTGATATCCCAAATGGATAGTTCATCCCAATATGGAGAGTTGACAACATGGAAGAAATAAAAAAGTTGACCACAGATCTTGATCTAGTTCTTGAAGAGTTAAGTTTATCTCCAATAGTACAAGTTGATGAGAAGGGTGAGAATGTGAGACTGAGTCATAAACATTGTACTGTGATTCTCAGAGAGATTCCTGAAACAACACCAGTAAAGGAGGGGAAAGCTTTGGTCAAGAATGAAAACTGCCCCAAAGTGTTAATCTGTGTGCACATTATAGCAACTGGTATATCACCTTCTAGTCAGATACTGATGCACAACAGGCATTTAAATACTTAAGAGATGTTAAAATATTTCAGTGCAAGCCAATCACAGCAAATATAAAAGCCATCAATACATTCTTTGCTAAGAATGGTTATCAATTAATGGATTCTAGTATGTATAGTCAGCCCACTCAAGTTCAAGCACAGCATGCCTCACCAAGCTTTATGCAGTCTGTATATAATCCTTGCCAACAGTTCTCAGTTTATAGTGTTGTGTTTCAGTCTTGGGCTCCAAGTTCTGCACTTACTTTGAAACACACCTGGTTCCCTTCCCCAATGGTCATTTTGTGAATGGCTTTAACTCACCAGGATCATGTAAAACAAATGCTACTGCTATGAATAAGGGTTGCCCATTCCCAAAAACTCAGAGTCAGAGAACTCTTTTCAGAGGTCAAACATGATAAGAAGATGAAAGGATCCCAAAAGCCCATCCTTCAGCTGAAGCAAAGTCTCCAACACCAAGGTCTGACTTACTAGCTTCTAATTTTCCTCTTTTACCTGGGAGTTCATCAAGAATGCCAGGTGAACTCCTTTTGGAGAATAGAATGCCTGATGTTGTTAAAGGTGTCTAAAGAGAAAAGGAGAATGAAGAATTGAGAGTTAGTTGCCCAGTACCTGCAGAAGATGAGCAGACATACTTTACTTCAGACCAGCAACTCAGTATGAGTACCAGTTCTCCATGTGCAACTGAGCTTCCTCTATTGAGCACAACTCAGCAAGAAAAGGATACAATAGATGATTCCACTGATCAGAAAGATGTTATCAATCAGATCACTACACCAGTTTCTTCCCCAAGTACTTTAAAGCCATCAAGAGCAAATACAGCTTTGCCATATAACAGTAATATAAATGTAACCACAGCTGTGCCCCTACAGGAACCCAGAAAGTGAAGTTATGCTGAACTATGCCAGAAGCCCCCTGATGAGCTATCTCCAGTTCTTGTGTAGCCACAACAAGAACTTCACTCCAATTCAGTGTCTCCCACCAAAAACCAAGAGAACGGAGCTCCTGAGAAGTCTGTTGAGAAGCCAGAAGCAAAGGCTGGTAAACATTATTCTGACTTTCAAAGCAGTGCCATTCCCAGGGGAGCAGCTGGAAAAATCAGGGAACAGAGAAGACAGTTTAGCCATACATAGGGCTATACCTCAGGGAGTGACTTGGTGTAATGGCAAAGAATAGTACGTACTACCCAGATCACCAAAGTAAAAACAAACAAAATACTCAAAAATTTCTCTCCTCCTATTAAACTTGAGCCATGACTGTTTGAACTGTTTTGGAGGAGAGGGACTAGCCAGGAAGAATGTGCAAAGTATATCATTGTGGATTTTGGAGTTGTGAACAGTAGGATCCCAAAATTCATATACATAGATATAGATAGATATATAGATATAGATATAGATATAGATATAGATATAGACATAGACATAGATATAGATATATATAGAGAGAGTGCACTTAGGAAACCATGAATTCCCAACATAGAAAAGAAATGGAGTCCACAAACAAATTCAAACAGATATCCAAGAGATTTAAAAACTCCATAAAAGTCTTCATATTTAAACCAAGCTGAGGATAGAATATCAGATCTAGAGGACAGGACTGTTGTTACCAGCCATGAAAAAAAAAAAAAAAAGATACCTTAAAGATAGCAAAAGGCCGTGGAAAATCTATCCAATAATTGCAAGATGATGCAAAGAAAAGTGATATAAGATTAATCAGAGTCAATTAGAATGTAAGAAACAGGGAAAATGTCATAAAAACATGAAAAAGGTATTTGACATACAAATGAGTGAGGCATAGAGAACTCCAAACAGCTATAACCAAAATAAGTCCACACCAGGACATATAATAATCAAGATTCCTGAAATTCAGAAGAACAGAATATTAAAGTCTGTTACAGAAAAGAAACAAATTGCCTATAAAGGAACACTGGACAGCAATCAATCCTCTGGCTACCTGGAAAGGGGGAGGATGAGGGCTAAATAAAAGACAGCAGAGACTTGAGTACCTTCACAGTATATGGGGGCTGGGTGGTCAGTGCTTCAGTGTGGGCAAAGACAAAGACCCTCCGAGCTGGCCACTATTTATTGGGTACACACAATAACTGGAGGGAGCATCAGGTGACTTAGAGGTGGCAGTAATCCTATGCAGATGAGGATCTTATGTTGATGAAGGCAGTAAGGAAAGCTTTCTTACAATAATAGGTGAGATGAATTCAGCTGATACGGAATTTCTTCCCTCCCCAAGTGAAACCTTTCTCTTACTCCTGGGTTGTCAAGGAACCAGGATGTCTTTTGTTGATGGAATCTTGCACTTCAGCATCATAGTGTCACAGGACCATTGAGGTCTCAGCTGTGACTGGAGTCAAAAATAGAGTTATGTTTCAGCATGACATAGTCAGCTCATGGGCAAGGTGACTTTGGGCCTTAGACAGCTACAATCATACTTTAATAATGAAATGACGGGCCAGGGATTTAGCTCAGTGGTTCGGTGGCCTGCCTTGCAAGCACAAGGACCCAAGTCCAATCCCCAGTACTAAAAAAAAAAAAAAAAAAAAAAAAAAATGATTTTTTTCTCCAAAATTATGTGGAATGCCTCCTGACAAAGGAAAGCCCATCAGAATCACAGCAGACTTCTCACCACAAACTTATATGGCAAGGAGAGCTCTAAGTGAAGTATTTCAATTCTAAAAGAAAACAAACTCAAACCCAGATTGATGTACCCTGCCCAACCATATTTCAAAATCAACAGAGAAATAAAATACTTCCGCAGCAAAGAACTAAAGAAATTTATGATGAACAAACAGCTCTACAAAGTGTTCTGAAAGGCATTTTAGAAAGAGAGTGAAAATCACAATTTCAGGAACACTTATAAAAGGAAGCCACAAGGCAAGGCAAGAATTAAACAGAGAGGAAAGGCAGGGAACCAATGCAGGAAAACAATATGACAAGGATAACCCAATACATATCAGCTATAACCATCCATGGTCTCAATTCACCAATCAAAAGAAACAGACTGACAGGAGGATCAAGAAACAAGATTCAATAATACACTGCATATAGAAAATACATTTAACTCAAAAGGAAATTCATGTACTGAAAGTCAAAGGTTGGAAAACAATGTTCCATATGATAGGAACCCAGGGAAAAAAAACAGGGATAGCTGTTGTATTTGCAGACAATGTGAAATTCAAGCCAAAACTGATCAAAAGAGACAAAGAAGGTCACTACATACTTGCTAAGGGAAAACTTCAAGAAGAAGGGATAACAATTATAAGTATATATGCACCAATATTGGTACAACCAATTACATAAATATTAATGGATATGAAAAATCTAATAAGCACTAGCAAAGTTGCAATGGGAGACTTTAATACCTCACTGCCACAAATAGACAGATCAACTAGACAAAAAACCGACAAAGAAATATTATAACTGAAGCAAATTTGTGAAGAAATGGACTTGGTATATGTCTACAGAGTGTT